ATATTTAATTTAATTTAGTTAAATTAAAGCAGTTATAGTGGAACATGCTTTGAAACAAATTCAAAATGTACCAAATCGGTTTCATGTTGTTTTTGTATTGAATCTGAATCAGATTCGGATTTGGATTTGGATCGGATTCGAATTTAGATCGAATCAAATCAAATCAAATTCGGATTCAAATCATATCGGATCAAACTGTTATGGTTTCGAATCAATCAGATCAAACTGTTATGGTTTCGAATCAGATTGGATCAGTTTAGAATGAATCAGATCCATATTTGATTCGTATTTATAAAAATCTGATCAGATCGAATCTAGTTAAAATCTGATCCGATTTGATCTGTTGTGATCACTACTTGTGTATTTGACCAAGTTTGCTTTTTTTCAAAAATTACCAAAAAAGAAAATTTTTGAGAAAAAAGAGGATCGGCAGAAAGAGTTTTTATATTGATTTTTTATTTAAATAACTTATTTTTAATTATATATATTATAAATATTATATTTTATATCTTTAAATATTAATTAAAATATATAGTATATATTTAAATAATAATTTAATAATTTTAATGGATATTTATAAGTTATGAATTTTATAAAATTTATAAAATAATTTTGAAATTGAAAAATTTTTTTAATAATTTTGAATTTAAATTCTACAATATCTCATATAATAACTATTATTCATTATAAGTCAAATAACTATTATAAGTGAATAAAAAATTACTATTTAAAACAAATTGAGATACAATATATTTTTAGAAATAAAAATACCAATAATATAACAAGTTTTTTGAATGATATATAAAGAAGAAATCAAGATTAAAAATAAAAGATATTTCAAATAGTTAGAAGAAGTAAGAATATTTCAATCAAATAAATTTTATTAAAACAAGATTTTAAAATATAAATCTTAAAAAAATTTAAATATTATTATTATTTTATTTTTTTATAATATACTTGTATATTTTTAAATATTCTTTTTCTCTTTTTCTCAATCTATCCCTTATATAATTTTTTGTATTTCAGTGACTTGATAGGATGATTGATAGTGACAACCTATTAATAATAAAGTATAATTTAGAAGAATCATTATTCAAAGTTTATTACAGAACAACCAATTATTTTAAAAACTTTTATATTTATTTACATATTATATATAGTTTAGCTATATCATACTATTTAAATGAATATGTATTTTTGTATTCTTTTGATTAATAAACTTTAATCTGACTGCGGGTCATTCGCAAAAAACTATATACTATATTGTTTATTATTATGATCATCATTTAATTATAAATTTATTTATTTATATTAATTTTATTAAATTAAAATAGCCAAGATATCCGTCGATTATGGCTCTGGTTCCGTGTAACCAACCAAGTATGCGATTACTAGTTCAAATTTATTTCCTAATAATTCAAATAAAATAAAACAGGTTAATCGTTATTATCCTTGTCATTCTAAATTTGATTTTTGAGGCATCTCTAGTTTTCCACGTTAGACCGGGATTTTTGGCATGTGCTCTACTTTCGACAAAAAAAAAACCTTGTATAGTTGTCGTTTGAGATTTCTAAATTGTGATCTTATTACCCAAATTAACCGCTTGCGGAACATTACTCGCGAAGAAAAAAAAGCTCCAATTTCTTTGTATTCAAGTCTCACGAATTTTTCGAATCACGTTTCTGTATACTACGAGTAAAACCTATCGCGAGAGGTTGTTTCAAATGAGAAGTTAGAATATCTTACGAAATAATAACATGAAATCTTTTCCAGACCATGCCTAATGGACTTTATGAAGATATGAAACAGAAAGCTTCTACATATACTATTTATTGTATATCAAAAAAAAAAAAAAAAAAAAAAAAAAAAAAAGCGTAATCAAAGGTTCCCACAAACTCAAAACCCTAACAAAGTTTGAGGAGTAGTATTGGCAGAGCCTATTGTTTTCAAACCTACGGCACTTTTGCGCATGACTCATAATACTCAATCTCCCGTTGTTTGTACAACGTTTGAGGATTGTGCCACTCTAACAATATGATTACGGTTTTCTGTTTTAATGCAATGATCAAAGATTTTTTTTCATATTCGTTTGTTCGATAAGCGAGAGAGAACAATCATTGCCAACACACGTAGAATTGCGAACATTGACTTTAAAAATACAATATTTTAATTTTTTGTTTGTTTATTATTGTTCGGATATTATATATTATCTGGAATGCTGATAAAATACATGATATATATATATATACTGTATATAATATATAATGTATAGTATATAAATATTTCTTACAAAATGAATGGGTAATTGTTTTCGAAGGCGTGTTGGGTAATCTGACTCCTAGAATTATGTGGTATTGTTTTAAGTCGATGAACTTGAAAATTTCATCGCCTCAAGATGATTACCCAAATGCGTAAATGCCTTACATAATAATTCTATGGTTTTTTTTTTTTTTCTCTAATTAGGTTAATTTTCATTTACACTATTTTACTAAAGATGATACAGAATGTGAATCTTAGTCTACAAGATGAAACGGAAAGGGATTTACATTGGATGGGGAATTTTAGAAAAATGAATAAGACACCAGAGGTCTCGTTCTCTTAATTTTCATGGGGTTGTTATTGAATTTTGAATGACGAATGAAGCGGTGATTGAACGTTAAATGAAAAGTGCAAGGGTGTCGGAGTTGTTTACTTCCAAGAGTGAACTTTGCGGCATTTGTCGAATTGGTATTAATTCTTTTGTAGAAAAAAAAAAAAGTAAATAAAATTAACATCAGGATTGCCAACCAAATTTTGAATGAATGCTTTTAAAAGAAAAAAAACTTACTCCTCCCATCAGCATTGTATGATCCGTTGATCCCGTTTTTCAGGGCCATAATAGCATCGTCAAGTTTTAACATCCAGTCTAACTTCGTGTATTCATCCAAAGCCCTAACTATGTGATGCCTTTCCTCTTTCGGTGTCTTGTAAACTATTTTAAAGCTGCACGGTTTATCTGATGATCTATCTTCAATATCTACAACCGATGCGTAATTCAAATCAATCTGTTCGTCATATACAATTTTCCCTTGAATTTTACGGCAATGCACCAGGAGATCATTGAATAAGTAATGCGTTTGTGTCTCGGTCGATGGTACAATGTATGATGATTTCTTTGCCACACATTGTTGATACGTGACTTTAAATAGATCTCCCTCGCAAATAAATCTTCGCGCGGGATTGACTATGATAGGGCATCTTTCGACTTTGGATTGAATCTCCAAAACTCTGTTTTGATTTTCGGCATCCTTTATCCTACATCAAAAAAAAAAAAAAAAAAAAAGATTCCATAAATTCCCTAATCATGAATAGAAGATATCAACGCGAAAATACCCGAGAAGAATAAGCGATATTACTTTTCATTAACCTCATCTGCGATGACCGTGATCTGTTTCACACAATTTTCGAGGTTGGGGTAATCGGGGTGAGATTCTTCGGTGTGTTTTAGTAAGGCTTCCAATAACAACTTGTACCGTGGAATTCTTTGTATAGGAAGACTTAAGTAAGAATTGAAAGGCAACCCTCCTAATTCAGGTTTTGCTTGGGCAGACTGTAACGGATAAATTATCATAAATAAATAAAAAAAATTTTTTTTTTCTTTTTTTTTTTTTTTTTTGAAGAAATGATCTGGTGAAACTTGCTAAAATACCTGCAAGAACTTTCTAAAATCCTTGTTTCCTTTCTTGAGTCGTTCTGTGAGTTGTATTGCGCGTGCGAAATCTCTTACATATGCCGTGTACATCTTAAGAAAGGGTGCCTAGATTTTTGTAAATTGGGATTGGATTTGAATTTCGAAATCAATATGTCCCCAAATTATTAATTCAAGCTTTTAACTCACGTTTTGCAGGAAGATGTCGCTGATCAATTCCGTGGAACTCCATTTGGAGCACCTCTCCTCCAGGGATTTGAGTAGTTGTTGGTGCAACGATAATATCATTTCAATATTACCAAATATTAAGGATATTTCATCCAATGTGACCACCGGTTTAGCGGACAAGAGTGTGTGCCTGTGGTTTGATTTTTGGCAACTATCTCGTAAGGGTTTCAGAAAATATTCCACACATTTGTTTAAACCGTCGACATAGGTTCTCTCGGTGGTAACAATTTCTCTCACGGCGGCTCCACGCTTGCGATTCTTTGCTGCCATTTCTAAAAAAGATCATGAATTTCATAATTTACCATTAATTTCCCGCAGACATTAAAAATAAAGAATACAAGATCCTTCTTTTTTTTTTACCTTCCGAAAGCTTCGTATCCATTTCATCCAGATCGTCATAATATTGCTCAATGAGATCCCGGAAATCGTACGGTGACAGTGGAATTTCCTCTATATTTTTTAAAGGTGGTGACGGAGAGGACGGAGATTCGGGCATGTCAAGAAGTTCCGGAGGTACTTCCGGAAGTATCAACTTCCGGTGGGTCAACAATGCCTGTCTTATTTTATGTGCATCGGATGTTGATTGCGATGTTTCTCGATGAATCGGTGTCGTTGACCCTGATGCCGGCATGGAAAGAGGATGTCTTTGTAGGGGAAGTAATGGCGGTGAGGAGCTAGGGGCAACTTTATGTGTACCGGATGTAACCTGGTTACAACTCTGTGAAGCTATTGCTCGACAAATTGGTGTCGTTGATCCGGATATTGGCATAGACATTGGATGCCTCGGGATCGTTTGCTTTACTTCACAGGCGTCGAATTCCGAGGATGTAATTTGACCGCGGCCCTGTGCCCGATGAATTGGCGTCGTTAATCCAGACACCGGCATAGACATTGGATGTCTTGATAAAGGCAACAAAGGTGGAGAGCTAGGAGCTGAATGGCGTTGTTCGGACGAAGGGTGGGAAAGGTGTGATCGATTACTTGAACATGCCTCTGATGATGGTTCAGTGGGAATCCTTTTGTCAGGTATGTGAATTAGCGATCCAATTCTCGGGGGAGGTGTCACATTATCACCATGACTGTGCGTTAAATTAAAAGTGTTTCGACTCGATGCACCACCTTTCGTTTTACAAATTGACGATTGTGAATGTCGTATTCTACAAAGCTCCTGGAGTTGTTTTAATTCTTCATTTACTTTCTCAAAGATATCTGAATCATCATCAAAGCTCATGTATCCAGAGTCACCTCGTGGCATTATTTTAGTATTATTAAATATAATCTTAATTTACAAGTCTAAAAATTCCAACCTATTGGTCAAGTAAAAATAATTATTGACACGATAACCTTTAACATTACGCTCCAACGAAATTAACTTACCAGGGAATTTAGATATCAAGTGTCTATTATGATATATGTGAAAGTGTATCTACGCAAAAAATTCCCAGAGCTTAGGAGGTACGCGAAAAGCTCTTGGAAAGCTCTTGGAAAGAGTAAAAGTTTGGAATTAAGAGGAAACGTTACAAAAAAAAGGCCTTTATTTAAGTTAAACAAGGTGCTCTTTATGTGAGGACAATTGGATGCAAAGATTAAATTATTGATGCCTTGTCTCGAAAAGAGAATACGTAATAGGAATCACGAAAAAAATTTTAAAAAAAGTTGTGGAACAAATAGAATTGCTTCTAATGCACGGTGTAATCCTTACTTTCAAGAAAAGGTATGTAGAGAATTTTTTAAATGTCGAAACTGGGAACACACTTCGAGAGACCGCTTTTTTATATACCACATGTGTGACACGTCAAATTCCGTTATAAAATATTATTTATTTGAATGCATTGTCCATCCTACTTGACATCCCGTTTTAGAATAAAAGGAAACATTATTCATTTCAATTGGCTCGACGGATCTGTCCTCCCCCTTTGACGAGTAAAAGAAAGCTTGGAAATATTTTTATTCGGTAATTTTCATTGGGCCACACGATGTTGATACAAAGACCCACTGTATTCCCATACGTACTGTACGCACGTACGCACATCCATCGGACAAGGCCTATTCCGAGTTTTGATCTTTACAAAAAAGGAAGTTTTAACATCAACCCGATAGGATTCCTGCAGGTTTACGTTTAAACTCGACCATGTAACAAGTAAAGATAAAGTTTTATGGTTTCCTGAATTTGAAATACTCCTCCCCCTCCCAAACACCAGCGATGAGATGTTCTAAACATCATGTGGTTATAGCTGAATTTGATTCAGGAGAAATCTTACAGTCTCGGAAGCGTACGCACGGGCGTAGCAAACACAAACCAAGGTAAATTTGATTAATATACACAATAAAAATAAAATAAAATAAAATGGAATATAAAATAATAATTATCGAACACTTTACAATACAACGAAGCTAATGAAACCCGCCGAACTTACTTATATATCTGAAACGACGCTAGAGAAAAAGACGAACCCCGTTGAAATTATGAGCTAATGAGGATGCTGATAGTTAATTAATTTTTTAATTGCGAATAAAGCGCATACTAAATCTCAAATAATTTAATACGAAATTTGCAAATATTAAAAAATTAAAGCACATATTTGATATACTGTATATCGATTATTACTATATATATATACAGCATAACATTGGATCGCTGATTTTTAATATTTATCGAGTGTATTATGTAAATACTGTTTATATAATGAATTTTATTATCCGGTGTTTATGTTGAATTGCATGCTGAATAACTGCGCGCAATCAATGTCCCCTTACCAATAACTTCAAATGGCTAATTGTCCATTTTCGCACTCACAAGCCGCATATATTATTTGCCTTTGGTCGTATTATGATAGAGTTACTAAATATAACAAATTAATTGAGAATCGTATTTTAATAGGATGACCGTATTGTTGATGAAATTTCCTTTCTTAGCGACACGAACACAACTACCGTTTCAATCATCCATAAAAATTTTATTTGCACCCAACATGTTAATCCAAATTTGAAAAATAAATATCCCAATTTTAAAATATCGCATCCATTCAAATAATTGGATTTTTAAAGAATAAATCAATTTAAATAAAAAATTAATTTTAATTTAAACATTATTTTTCAAAGAATCAATCGAACAATTGATCTTTAGAAAAATGAATCGATTTGATCAAAAAAATTATAACGAATAAATAATAAGTAAAATTAAAATTAGTTATTGGTTTAGAATCAATCTTTTTTATCAATTTTTCTAATCAAATGTTTTTTATTTATAGAAATCATAATCAAATTTTAAGCTATCATGTTTTTTGTTTTAGATCATATATGCTATGTGAAATATTTATACACTGGTCAAAAATATTTATTTGACTTAATATCACTTATGTAATATCATAATAATAATAATAATAATAATTTGATAAATTAATAACATAAAAAATTATTAATATATTTATATTATATAATTTGATATAAATTATTAATATATTTCAATTATATAATTCAATACATATTATAAATTATTAATGTCAAACACTTTTACTAATCTTCTAACCATATGCAAAAAAGATATTGATCAAAAATTTTTAAATTTTTTAATTAATAAAGTCTTATTACTATCCATAAAATAACTTGAAAAGTATTTTTAAGAGTCATTATTGTATTTCTCTTTCTTGTTTAAAAATTTCTTTTAACTAAAATTTAACTTTTAATAATCAAAAAAATCAAGAAATATTTTTATTACCAATAATAAAAAAATTCCTAAAGAAAAAAGAATTAATTATAAAATATTTGAAAAATTTTTTTTATCTTTAAAACAAATATTGTAAAAATTTATTGCAATTAAAAGATTTATTTTATCTCTTATCAACTATTATTACTTTTTTAAAACTTTTATTCTTATGATGTTTTAAAAAATTTTACATATTTTAATTTGATCTTGAATTTTTGAATAGTATAATTCTTATCAAAAGTAATTGATTATTATAAAATATATTAGTTTTTAAAATATAAACAAATTTTTATTAATTGTATATATTTAATATTTTATTAATATTATTATAATAAAAAAAGAAAAAATTTTAAAAATATATTTTATTACCTAAACAAGTTTCTTAAAAAATAATTATAGTACTAAAAAGTAAATATTAAATATATAATATAGCATAATACTTTTGTTTTTTAACAAATTTCTCATATAATAAAAGAATTTATTGAATAAAAACTAAAATTTTCATGCTTTTATTTCAATTGAACAAAGTTTTTACAAAGATTTTTTTATTTTAATTCAGTAAACTCTTTTATAATATGATATAAATTTTAATAATTTAATAAAAAATTTTATTCATCAATAAAAGAATAAGTTTTTTAAATAAATTAAAGAATATTTTAATCAAATAAATTATATTTGAGAGAAGATTGCTAAATAGATTAATAATTTTTTGAAAAATTGATTTCTTTTTTTTATCTTTTTCAATTATTTAACAATTCATTATTTTTATAATAATTGATAATAATAAATTGCTGATAATAATCCTGACAATTGGAAATTAAAAAAAATTTTTTATAATCTTTTATTAGGTTAGATAAATATATTTTATTAAATATTTGTATACTTTATATTATAAAATATATCACTAAAACTCTTTTCGCTGATTTTTTGAGCACACACAAAAAAGATGTTCACCAGAAGTTTTTACATTTCCTTGCTAATAAAATCTTAACACTTTCTTTAAAACAACTTGAAGTATGACTTAAAGAGTCATTTCTACACTTCTCCTATTGTCTACAAACTTCTTTACTCAAAAACTTAACTTCTAGTGACCAAGAAAAGTCAAGTAACACCTTTGATACCAATGGCAAAAAAGTTCTCAAAAGAAGAAAAACTGACTTTGAAGTACCTGAAAGTCTTTCTAACCTTTGAAGTGAGAGACTTATAGAGGTTTTTTGTAATAAAAAGGCTTATTTTCTCCCTTTTTGATTGTCTTAATCCTGTTAGAACTCCCATGTTTATAGTTATTTAGAAAATTTTGTCTACTTCAGTCTGATCCTAAATTTTGGATAGCACAAATCCTTATTAAAGATGATTGGCTAACATAAAACACGTTAGTTTTTAAAATGTAAACAAGCTTTTATTGATCACACTTATGTATCTTGATATATCATTAATGATATAGAAAAGAAAGTTCTAATAAAAGTGTCCCTTCCAATCATATATGTTTAACCTCCAGAAAACAATTATAATACTAAAAGGCAAGTGATGGATAGAAATAGAAAATTCAACTTCTATCTCTCATTAAGTTCCTTAAGTGATAAAAAGATTTTCGTAAACAAAAGTGGAGATTTCCAAGCTTCTATTCCAGTTAGGCAAAGTTCTTAAAAAGATTTCTTTATCTTGATCAAACAAACTCTTCTGTAATATAGTATTAGTTCCAATAGTATTAAGTAGATTTGTATATTGGCAGAAGAATAAGTTCCTCAAATATTCTTCTTGAAGTTACTTTCAGGAATAGTTAAGTTCCTTAAACGTCATGAAGCTTAGAGAATATCTTAATCAGGCAAACCTTTTTCAAGAGGAAACTGTGAAATAGAGCTAGAACCTTTTGAAAAGTTTTAAATTGTATCTCCCTTTTCCCTTTTTTTTTCAGTACCAAATTTAGCAATTCATCTTTTTTTGGAATAATCAATAGTGATAAACTATTGACAATGACCCTGATTGACTTAGAGATTCTATGTCAAGCTATTAGGAGAGTGTAATATTGTTTTCTAAATCTGACTTAGAGTATCTAGTTTAGATTTAGTTTTGTTTAGTTCAAACTAGCTTAGTGAATTTCTCATATTTT